TATTTCAAGTTCAATGCTTTTCTGTACTCGTCAGCATTTGTCGTATTTGTTATTTTCAAAAAATAAACGATAAACATATCCTTATATCAATTTACAAGCCATGCCCAATTAACTATTCATAAAATTCAGTTTGTTCTTATCAGAATGGTTCGTGTATTTTAACAAAATGTAATTATATCAACCCACGTCTAGCAATTAAGTGGGGAGTGCTCAGATGGATAGCTGCCAAAAAAGTAAACATTGAAGTTTCTGCTTACTGTTTTTTTTTCTGAAAATTTTATCTATCATTAATCGTTCGTGTTCTTTGTGAATGAATATTTACTTAATATAACTGGAAGGGAACCAACTATAATCACATCAATTACATTAATATTTTATCCGGTTAAACTGTTCTCCGCAAATTTGTATAACGTTTAAAATATATGTTTACAAATTCAAACCGTTTTTCATTCGGTATATGATGAATAAGTAAAATTTAATCATACTTGCAAAACAAATACTTTCCTCCGAAGTGCGTTCCCTTAATGAGTAGGTGAATATTCAGGAAGCCCATCCAAAAACAAAAGTACATTCATTTTAAATATTCAGTGAAGTAACCGTATGAATTTTGTTATATCAATTTTATTCGATTTAATATGTCGACATTACAGTATCCATATTAAAACCAAGATCACTGCGGCAACTTGGTTCCGACTTAAACAATATTTCACCAGTAAAATGTTACCGCAATAGTATTCTTCTGTAAGTGCATTGCATACTATGATATCTCCGAAGTAAGATTCCCCAATGGATGACTGGGGAATAGAAATATGGCCACTTTGGTCTTCTTTTGACCGGCAGTAAAACGCTCGCCGAAGTGGGGTGGCCGTTTGGCTGTGCTGGATGTACAAGTACGCTGCAACGTCCGATCAAAATGGGGACGTTAAATCCAATGTCTAGTATAAAGAAAGAGCCACGCTCGCTGCACGATAAGAACCCTGGCAAAATTGCTGTCCCTATCCAATAAACCCTCATTTTCTAGTGGCAGTCCAAATTTCCCCGACCTTCATCCCTGACGGCCTCTATTACAGGACCTACCTATTGTATTTATTGTTACTGAACATTCATGAAATATTTGCCACTGAATGTAAAGCAACTAACAATCAATAGAAGTGAGATTTACCAAAGATTTGAAAGGAAAACTGTTATAAAAGTTGATGTTTTTGTGTTGTAGGGTAGCTGTCTCATTAAGGTATACAATTTGCCTCCAAATCTCCTTTTATTTACATTAACTTTGTGCACGCCTAAACATATGTATATGTTAATACGTTGTTGGTGCGCATGATCATGAGAAAGAGACAAGGCAGGGTGTGTGTGAGCAGGATTTTATACACAACTAAAGCCTGCATCTTGTTGGGCAGAATATTAACTTTTATTCTGTCTTCGGCAAGATTATTAATATTCAGTTGTTGTTGGGCAGAATATTAACTTTTATTCTGTCTTAGGCAAGATTATTAATATTCAGTTGTTGTTGGGCAGAATATTAACTTTTATTCTGTCTTAGGCAAGATTATTAATATTCAGTTGTTGTTGGGCAGAATATTAACTTTTATTCTGTCTTAGGCAAGATTATTAATATTCAGTTCTTGTTGGGCAGAATATAAACTTTTATTCTGTCTTAGGCAAGATTATTAATATTCAGTTCTTGTCAGGTCAGCATTTTAACTCATAACGAAAATCCTCCTGTCCCCCTCCCAAGAAAATCAAATGACCCTTACTGTATCAGATCATTCATATATAAACATCTTAAAATCTAACTTAACGCTACTTAACCGAGAAAGCAGATTTCCCTAATAGAAAAAAGTGAACAAAATGGAAAACGTTCAAACCTTACTGACTGTAACATAAACCAGCTCAATCGATTTTATTACCGTTTATAAGTAGGTCTTCTCTGTTCAGTTTCTATTATACAGCTGATCAATAGAGTGTTTTGTCACATAAAGTACTACTTAATTAAAGTTTCCTTTACAGTGTCAATAGATTCAACCCACGTACTTTTATCAACAAGGAAGATTTAGGTTATAAACGAGGCTCAAAATGGTATAACTGTATAAAAACGAGGAAGACTTTAAAATGGAAACAAAATGTGATATAAGCAAAATTATAGAAAGTACATTTGTTAAAATAAAAATGTGTGAATATGTGGGGTATCCACATTCATGATACTGTAACCTGACACTTATAAGGGGACGATCCTTTTAAATTCGTGAGGGGGGAGGAAGGGAGTTGGTGAAGCAGGACGATTGATAATTTATTTTACCTGCTGCTATGCAGTATAATTTTTTTTCCGCGGCAAACATTAATTTTCACAAATTTGATTTCTGTATTTTGTGTTGCGAAATATTCATTTCATCCTGTCTTATTCAAACTTATTTATATTGAGTCCTTACCAGACCAAGTTATTCATGTTCAAAATCCTCCTGCCCCCTATCCCCTCTCCCCCCCCCCCCCCCCCCCCGAAAATCTAATGGTCGTTCCCTTTCCGAAATTCATCTAGAGATCAACTCTCCACAGATGCCTGTAAGATATGTCAAGGCAAGCTCTAAATATCCCGTCGCGAGATAAAATGACTAAATCATTCAGATATTCGCGGCAGATTTAGGATATGGTGTAGAGGATGTACTACCTCCCCCCCCCCTCTTTGATCGCTAAAAAATATTAAAAGTCTCATGTTTCTCACGATTCATTATGAATTTTAAGAATGAAAGCGCCCAAAAAGTTTCTCCTCGCTCCGCATTATTTCTTACGTTTCCAGGAATAACGCCCCCCCCCCCCCCTTTTATAAAAATTGCTGTATCCGCCCCTGGGTATACTCGGGGCGATGACTGACGAGGTTCTTAAATATGTGGATAGTCTGGGCATATATTTCATACAAATTTAAAAATGGTCATAAAACATTAATTGGATATTAGTCCTGGTCTTGTTCACAAGAATGACAACATTTGTATCGGAGATATGTCGGTCCTATTTGAAACTTGACTTTAAACATCCATCAGTTTATTTTATATATAGAGTAACTAGATCTAGCGTTTTAAACAATTATCATCCGATGGAAAACTACTTCAGTTTATACACTTGAAAAATTGTCCTACTTTTAAAATAGGTTCCCATCCGGAACCTAAGCCACTTTAATATGCAAGCAGGCCTTGTTTATTATTTACAAAATGTATTGGGTTACGTTCCATTTAATAAGAGTTGCCTTGAATTTGATATGTTTTGACTGCACTGATAGGTCTATTAAACGGGTAATTTGCATATGCTTGTATGATGAATCAGAGCATCCGGGTGCAACAAGAGATAATATATATATACAGAGGGGTGTGGATTGGGGTCCTTCATTTCTGTTTTCTTTAATTTTTTATGGCCATTTTTCTATATTTTTTTAATAAATTTTGCTTGTTATTCTCTATTCTTTATATTTTGGCGCCCCATTATTTTCTTTTCTTATTTTTTTTATTTGTTACTGTTTTAGTCCTTTATTCGGCACATTTTGCCGCTTGCCCATTATTCATTATTCTATAAACCCCATCCAGACCCTCATAATAGAATAATTGACTTCATTCTTGGAGATAATTTCTACTGTCAAACATTATCTTTTCAAGCATTTGATTAATTGATTGCTTGACTGTTGGTGTTTTACATCCAAGCAGCACAGAGTTTTTACCGCGGCTTACAATATATGAATAGGATACAAGAAAAGAAATGAAAGTGGAAAAAGGGGGTGGATAGTAGATAAGATGTTACACATATGGGAACAAGATAACTTGTTTGGGTCTGAGACTGTAGCCTCATCACCGGTACCACATGAGAAGCTCAGCTTAATTAGTACTAGTGGTTGCCCGCTTTTCGTCCCAGGAGCGTGGTACTCGATCTCCTTACATGGGCCAATCCTTGCCATGCATTCCGTAGAATGGCTTGCTTATATGAAGCCTTTTACATACCTCTGGACGCCATATGCTCAACTCTAATCAACTGTCACAGGCAAAGTTGATATTCAATGGTTAAGCTTTTTTGTTTGTGTTTTGTTTTTTGCCCTCAAAAGATTTTTTTTTATGTTTCGCTTACAAAACTTTGGGTTTGAAGGTAATATACTTGTTGTGCGCAAGGTGATGATTTTATAATACGTTTTCTAACCAAGAAGAAATATATTTTGTATTTTTATTGTTTTAAGTCATTTTTCAAACTGTAGAATCGACCCATCTGCACACCGTCGATTTTGCTGGGTTTTTTGTGTTATTTACTAGCAAGGTTTGACCGGGGGGATGTAAATTTGTAGTGGTTATGAAAGTATTATACACGTATTAAAAAGTTCGTGAATGTCGGTGGCAAGAGGCGTTAGGTATAGAATTAATGACAGAAATGATAACAAGATACCGAGAGGCAATCATGACAGTACCTCGAAGAAAGGAAGAAATCACAACCAAAAAGGTAAAAAGACGAGTATAAAAAAAAAATTCCACAAAAAACTCAAGATTAGTCAACACAAACATGACAAACGCCACAGTAAAAAGGAAAAGTAAACCAAGGTGCTTTACTAGAAATCGACGTAACCATCAACTTTCATGATTTTCCGTTTTAATTTTTCAAGTAGCACAACTCACAAGGTTTCGTAATTTCTGTAATTAGAGGCAACACGGGCAACAAAACAACATGGACTGATTTAACCTACAGGAATAAAGTTACACAGGAAACATGTAACTAAACTTGGCTAGAGACAAAATTGGTGTGAGGAACTAATATACCTTACTATGCAGCCAGGATTTTGCTCATTGTTGAAGGTTGTATGGTGACCTTTAGTTCTTAACTTCTATGGCATTTTGGTCTCTAGTGAACAGTTGTCTCATTTGCAATCATACCCACGTCCACTTATTTTTATATACTGTTCCAATATTTGTACATAACTGTCACCTTTGTTTACTTTTTTTTTCATTTTCAAAATAAAAACAAATAAAAGAACACAATTTTATAGAATTTCATGATTTATTTGATGAAGTTTCTATCATGAACTGATTCTATGTAATTACATGTAATTTATACACTAAATGCACCGTCACATAAAATCTACACGACGATTGCAATAATTTTCAACATGTAGTTTGTACTTTACATATATTACATATTATTATATATAAAGTTATGATTCGATTGTCACAGCTGGTTCAGTTTTCTATCTTACAGAGTTGGTTGGGAAATATTCTTTCTCCTATATCTCTATGTATACTATCATGGCAAGGCGAACTTGCATTTCGATTTTAGACCTTCAGTTGTAATTAAAGTCTAAATGTCGGTTTTAATATGACATTGTCGTATTTACAAAACCGGTTTAACCACTAAAAGCGGTAGTATTCGTGAACCGACAGAAAGTCCACTGTTTAAATTCATGTGAGATTCAAATCTACAGGATTGATATTTTGCAGGTTGTCTTCTTCTGAAATGTCTGCAAGTTCATCTGATCCATATTCTGATGAATTCTCCATGTCACATGACACTTCCGCGAGATCCCGATAGAAGATTATGGAACCAATTAGTTTCCCACTCTGTAATCGTCCACCAACGGGCAAAAATCCTACTTGGGTAAAACCACCAATTTTCTGCAAGATTTTCAACATTCCTGTATTGTTGGAAAATGTGTCAACGTACATTCCCACGTATCCTAGTTGCTGGGAAAATTGAATTGCTTTATTCATCGCAAATTCTCCTAACCTCTGACCCCTTTCGGTTCGTTTGATTATGATAAACGGATCTACCATGGTTGAAGCACCTCGATAGAATTTACTGTTTGCAAGAATAATTCCTCCAATTAAGTCACAACTTTCTTTGCAGATTATTGCAAAGCAATGACTGTCATGTATTTCTTGTCTAAAGTTTTTCTCATTTACAAATTCGTCTATCCCGAACCCACTTCCGTGTGCTGCAGCGTCTTGTATCATGTCATACGTTTCCGCCAACTGTACATCTGTCATTGCATCTATAATCACGTGACGTCCGGATTCAAGGCTCTCCACCATGGGTAGACTATAGAGTTTCCCTAGGTCTCGTTCTAGCAACATATCCTTTAACTGCAAATATAAATTTAAAAAATGATTACTATGTGCAGAAGAACAATAAAATACGCATTATAATTATATTTGCTACCACATTGAAGGCACACTCGATTATACATAAAATTATCGTCCTAAAGAAATTTGCACACAAGTACTTCAACAACCAACTAAGTGGGCAAGGTTTAATATTTTGACGGCGACGAACGTTAAAAAAAAATAAGATACAACACAATATATAACCATACAAGAAAAGATTCCAACCAGGTTAACCGCAAAAAAATCTAAATGACGCAATAAACATTATAAATATCATAAAGCAATAATATGCTTCAAAACAATTTGAAATTGCACATACTTATAATTATCGAAGTCAAAAGAATCCAAAGAATGTCAGAATACTTCTGTATTACAATACGTCTTGCAAGGATGTATAAATAGTCAATAAATGGAAATCCTTGTATCAAACAAGGAAATTATATGAAATACCGGTTAAAACTGGATACTAGTAATTAAGAAATAATTCGAGCAGCTTTACCCGGTTGGAACTCTGCCAAAAGTAAACAAAAATAAAGTGCATTGCAATTTAAAGCTTTAAATAGATTGTTGTCAATGGAAAAACCTTCAACTATAGAAAATCAGTGGACCAGATAAGATTGATCTAGAAATTTCCAATGGAAACCGTCTATGATGGATTTACCGACTAACATCGATTTGACCTCATTCGGGTTGGTCTTGTTGTGAATCAGAAGTATTTATAACAACCTTGATTCTTGTGACATACATAATTATCGCATATTAGCTAAAAAAAAAATCATCGTTGGCATAATTATGTATTCATAGATATCAAATTCTAAATTAGTGTTTAAATCTCCGAATGCAAAGTTAACATTACGACAACAAATTACGTAACGAAAAACTATCTTATTAAGACGTCTACAAATAAAATAGGAATTGGATTTGGATAGGTTTGCGTTGCTATTGTGACAATAATTAAATTTGTTCCAGATTCGTTATTTCATCAAGTTTGTGTAATTTTATTCGAAATTCACTTTTTATTTTGTTGATAAATTAACTGATTGTCTCCAGTTGCATCAAAATATGTAGAGCCCTTTATGTATACATGTACATTATATCACCCAACAGTCCAGATTATGTTTAAAACATTTATCAGTTAAGTAAGCACAAATCAACCGTACAACCACAAGATACAAAAAATGCTACCTTTACTTGTAACTAATTATTATTAACTGAAATATGAATTAGACGATGACAATGATAAATGATCAATGTTTTATATATGGTATATATATATAAACAATCCTTACCTTTTAACGTTTCAATTCAAATATCCTTAAAATGTTCGTCTGTTTTTCTTAATATTAGAAAACGATGTGTATTGCTTCTATTAAAAGATCCGATTAACTGTAAACAGAAAACATGTGCCTTTATATTTGTGGTAAATTTCCGTTGGACACGAGCCAAATCAATCTTTTAGTTAAGCTCCGCCTCCAAAACTGACAATCAAAGAGCTTATCGTTACGGAAATGAATCAATTACCGACAAGTTATATGGGTTAGGTTGACCGAATTGTCAATGGAAAATACTTATATATGATAATTATATATATGCAGTTATCAGTAGACTATTTTCAAAGTGCAAAACTTGTGATAGTCGGGAACAAGATTAAAACCGGCGGATTTTACAATGAACCACGGCATGTCAATGGCTAAATTAATTTGATTTTGAATCATATCTTCAAATAGAAACAGATCTATAAACCTCATTCAAATCGATAAGCCATAATTATTATGTAAGAGCACTAAAACATATAATAGTGCATTATGTTTCTGAACAAAATAAATGATCATGAATGTGCAATTTTAATGTTTTCATTTTCTTTTAATTCTCGTGGGTCTAACAAAATATAGAACGTATGACACTAACAGATTCGAAAAAGTATAGCAATTTAAAAAATGTTTTTATATTTTAAAATTCATACATGTACAATGTATTGTAGGTCCCTTTTAAAATGGGCAATGGAAAGGTGGACTAGGGACTCTTGATTCACTTATGTTTGTTATAAAATTGTTATATATATTACTCTTTGTATTCTGTTTGTCACAAATTGTGCTGTGTATGCTTAATGACAATGAAGATTATTATTATTTAATCGGAAACTATAATAGTCATACATTTGTACACGTATAATTTTTATGGTTGTTTTTTTTTCTCGGAAATGACGACATATTTTGGTGTGTTGCATTACATTAGAACAAATTCATTCATACACACCTTGAAGTTGTAAAAGTTGTAAAATTCTTGTCCTCACGATATACGTAGTACGGACGTAAAATGTTTTGAAAATCGTGTAATTTGTAGTAAAATCGTCCTGCCTGGTGGTGCTATAATTTAGTCATTTATCTGCGGGGCTCTTTTATGATGTCGTTCAAGGTAATACTACTACCGCAAATTGACAAGATTGAATATATCATTCTTTGCCATAAAAAAGGTAAAAATGATAAAAGTAGAATTACGTTTTTTTCTGACTCACATTCATTATATTGCGATAATTAAAATGTCAGCGGATTATGTGTGATATTTATTAAAACTGCACTAAATTAAAAATTTTAAAAATACACAAAATATTATTAAGATCCTGTTTATATTAAAATGTGTACATGGATCTTACTCTTTCCCATTCATTTAATGTAGCCAAGGTACAAAATGTAACTATACTGACAAAGAGAGGCAAAAGATACCAAGGGGATATTCAAACTCATATACCGTAAACAAACTGACAATGCCATGGAAACAAAAACGACGAAAACTTGAGACAAACGAGGGTACAATAAATATCTTTTAAATTATACAAAACTACAAACATATGATATTTTCATGTAAAAGAGGGACGAAAGATACCAAAGGGACATTCAAACTCATAAGTCGAAAATAAACTGACAACGCCATGGTTAAAAATGAAAAAGACAATAAAAGAGTTATCTAAGATGTTACTTTTTGTTTTAGTCTTTGTCAAATTGAACTCCAAATCACCAATATATGTACTTCTCAAACACTTATCTTCAGTTGTTTTTATAACTGTGGACGATATAATTGAAATAAAATATTTCTTGAATAAAACGATCGAGATGTGTAGTATATATCAGTACGACAGCAACTCGACAATACAATAAAACGATCAAGATGTGTAGTATATATCAGTACGACAGCAACTCGACAATACAATAAAACGATCGAGATTTGTAGTATATATCAGTACGACAGCAACTCCACAATACAATAAAACGATCGAGATGTGTAGTATATATCAGTACGACAGCAACTCGACAATACAATAAAACCAAAACAAGAGGTATGATAATCTAAAACTTAAATTGTTTTCTGTCAATGTAATGTAACCAAACTATATGTTTTACATTTGTCATGTCGGGACCTTTTATAGCTTGCTATACGGTATAGGTTTTGCTCATTGTTGAGGGCCGTACGGTAACCTATAGCTGCTAACTTCTGCGTCATTTTGTCTCTGGTGGAGTGCTGTTCATTGACAGTCGTTTATCGTGCATGCATATCTTCTTTTTATATAATGAAACTGACTTCTTTATGGGCTTTAAGCCATATGTATTATTGAAAGATCCCAGGGCTGCAATAGACATTTTTATACAACCAATATCTCCATATGACCTCTATAAAGTATATTGACACACATTTGTACAATTGCATCAGAATCGTATATTTCATTATTTATTCATGTATTGTACGGTTCAGAAATACGTCAAATATTGTAACCTTGTTTACCCTTTGGGGTTGTTGGTCGTCTGATACTACGTAAGTCGAATGAACCTCAATAACATGCATCAGTAGTATATCGATGTCCATATCTCGTAAATCCAATTTGGATATACAGATGTATATACAAACAAAGATAAAAAAAATATCACAGATCAAACAACTTATCTTGTATGAAGATTTGTTTCTGAACATATCTTAAAAATAATGTTGCCAGGGGCGTAGCTACCCGGAGGCACGGCAGCACGTGCATCCACGTCGTTTTCACACAAAAAAAACCAAAAAAAAACAGAGAGAGAGAGTGAGGGACAAAGTTAACATATAGGAATTGGTCTTTCTATATATGCATTTTAAAAACTACACAAAGAATAAAAGCAAGAGGAACACACATGCAGTGGAATTTTTAATCCTGTCAGACATGTATGTGTACGATAAATACATACAACTGGTGTAAACTTAGAGGAACTTTTTATATTACGGGCATTGTTTAGAAAATACCAGCTACATAGTTGTTGGTACCACAACCATACCGTATACTCGCTTTGAGTGCAAAAAAAAACATAATCCCTTTAGGGTTAACAAAAAAAACTTGAAATTATTATTTTCTGCTTCGCCCCAAAGCAAACATCTTACTAGAATGAAGACCCTTCAACTCGTATCGATTCGGGAATAATGACTGTTACCTTGTGAACTAGTTCAATATTGACTAAGTATGTAGGTCTTGACAACACGAATAGTTCATTTTCACCTCACGTCAACGTATCTCTCCTGTGTGCATGTAATATTTGCTACCGCACATTAATAACCATTCAATCAATCAATAGTTTCCGTATACTAGTAGATGGGAAGTTTGAACTGCTGTTATTATAAAAAAAGTACACATTTTCCAGTACATGTTTTTCGTTTTTATTTATTTTACAAAAAAATCTTTTATATAGATTTGATAATTCGAAGTCGTTTCTATATGGGCCGTCTATACGAATGGTAGCTAGCTAATTAAAAACGCAGATTATGAAAAAGATCGTGATCAAAGTACCATTTTCTTTGAAAAAGTTCATTAATTTCAACTTCGAATATTCCTAACTACGTAAAATTCGAAATTCCCATCTCTCTTTTGTAGAGTTTATCCACAAAATGTTTAAACACCTAAATACATATGTTAAGCAAAATATAGGAGAATGTGTCCACCAAGTATTTGGTATCCATAATGTTTATGCTAACAGAAACTCCAAATATAGTATTGTGTTTATGTTTATTGTTTGTTTTTTTAAATATACTTTGCTCAATACAAATACTAGCATATGGAACAAATCTCCGTTATTTTAAAAGCTTTCACGTACAAAAAACGCAAGCGACAATGTTAAGTCTTCATTCGACTCGAAGTTAAACAAATAGTTGACAAAAAAATCACAACAAAAATCTCCAAGTTTTATTTCGGTTGTGATTGTTTTGAAACGCTATATATGCGGAGCATCCGGGGGGCTTCGTCCCTCTGGCTCCTCTACCAGGGCTTTGCCCCGGACCTACTGGGGGCCTTAGGAGGCCCCCAGACCCCTCGCCCTTTAGTTTGTGATTACACTTCATTAAGAAGGTAGCTACGCCCCTGGTTGCCATTAAAGAAAAAATATAAGAAAAGTGTTGAAAACGATATTCTATTTATAAAATTTTATTACATTCTAAACAGACTGTAATGAGGGCAAATATACTACATAAACTATAAACACCACCTCCCCACCCCATCCCCAGCTGCGATTTCGACGGATTTCGCTCCGATTGTTCGCAGGAAGGAAGTATGTTTTATTCTTATATGACTCAATGATGAATTTCAAGTAAAATAATGTGCATTTCAGGGAAAACACAAACAGTATAAGATAAGATAAGATAAGATGTATTTTATTACCATTTAAGGGCCCACAAGGAGCATATAGAGAATACATGTATAACATTGATTAGCATAGATATATAGAATTTAAATACACAATTACAATACAATTAGACTGTAAAAAAGCCCTTGATTTAAAGTATATAATATATTTAAATGAGAAATAAATACATATCTCTGCATAGTTGGAAAATTTAGTTCATTAGCATGTATGGTCTAAAATCTTTTAAAAACATGTATACACTTTTTAAAGTTGACTTTTTACCATCCTGTAGCAATCTCGTACCTAAAAAATCTAATTCGCACATTCGTTACATGTCAAGGAGTTCCTGATTCGGTGTGTTTCATTTTCCCTGGTCTCTTGCACTCTATTAATTATGTGAAATTAACCTATTTTTATCAAAAATTATTTAAGATTTACTGTTGTCATAATTATAACCAAATATAGATACATTCCATGACAAAGTATTATAGATATGTTTAATTTTTATTTTTGTTTATAAATAATGACAGATACTGATATATTTGTGTTACTTAAAACACATCATATGATTATG